CCCACTGACATATGGAGTGGTATCTGAAATCTCATAATGTAGTGCAACAGGTTCCATTTCTTGAGTGCATTTGGTCTTCTCAACTTCAGGATCAGCCAAAAATGTTGGTGGTGGCACTACAGATGACCATTGACAAAGGAATGCTTTATTCAATGTAAGTGACTAATTTTCTAAACTCAGAAAGACAGAACCAATTATGGCCATTGAAGCCAAGGACATACAAGTAACATTGTCAGAATACATTTAAAGAGATTTAAAAAAAAAAAGCTACATAGAGCACACAATTGTTAGTTGTCACACAAAAACATTAAGTAGATTAGGAGCAAATATTTGAAAATCACCTTGGTCTTGTACATTAAACTGGATGACATCACCAGTTCTCACACAGTCGTACCATCCAGAGTTAGAGGGCTGTGCTGTCTTGACAGCTAACGTCCTCCTGGTACACTCCGATTTGATATGAGGCTGACTTTTTGAGACGAGCTCTACACCATCCTTGTAACAACACACATTGGCATTTGGACCTGAGATTTCACCGTGCAAATCAGTGGAGTAGTCTGCTTCAACCAGCTGGTTCTTCACTGTGTCTGGTAATGCTGAGAACATCACCGGTGGATCTAAGGGTGATCCGTTGCATTATTAAAGAATATACATAATTAATATTCTTTATTAAAAAGTCATCTAGACTGCCTATCTGTGATTTCTCAGACCATCTGCCAAGAAGCAAGTTAAATAATGCAAAACATGTAACATCTGTATCAAATCACTGCCGACAAGTTGGATGCAATGGTGAGAGGCATGTCCATAACAGCACAGCTAAGAGACGCAGACAACAAAAAACTTGATTGTTAGTTTGCATCTAGTTTTGCAAATGTGTTACTGGATGTACAAGATTCTCAAAAAGTCATAAATCACCTTTGATATCCACAGTGAACTGGACAGAGTCGTCAGATGATTCACAGCGGTACAATCCAGAATGACTGGGCTCAGCTGGATTGACTACCAGTGTCCTTACGTATCCCTCTGACTGAATATCCAAACCAGTCTCTGGCTGAAGCTGCGTATCGTTGTGGAACCAGCTGACTTGGGCTGTAGGGTCTGAGACCTTACAGTGGAGTTCAAAGTGGCCACCAGCTTCAATGCATTTATTCGTCTCAGCTTCAGGAACAGCTGAGAACCTCACCGATGCAGCTACAGATGATGGTTTATATCAGAATCATCAAGAATTACCAGAAATTAGCCAGATTAAAAGACCTTTTGCTTTAAGATAACATGTAACAACTGAATATACAAGAACATCATGACATAATGAAAAGATAATCCAAAATTGTAAAGGTAAAGCAGAAAAAATGGTGACAGAGGTACTAAAGAATGTGACAAAAGACCAATACAGAAAGCAGTGATTGTTAGTGGCATAATTGCAAGAAGACATATAGTTAATTTGTAAGTGAGGAATAAATTTGGCCAAAATCACCTCGTATCTCCACATGAAACTTGATGACATCATCCTTTGTTGTGCAGCTGTACACACCGGCATGAGACGGGTGTGCTGATTGAATACTGAGTGTTCTCATGCAGTCATCTGATTTGAAGTCTACTCCAGATTCTACAAGGAGCTGATCCCCATCTTTGTACCACTGGACCTGTGCAGTAGAGTCTGAAACCTCGCACTGCAGAACAATGGGGCAGCCTGCTTCAATGCACTTTCTCCGCTTAACCTCAGGGACAGCAGAGAACCTCACAGGTGGGGCTATGGATATTGTAGAGTGTTTAAGTCCTTACTTTATGGTTTTAATAGTCATTATTATTAATATAACAAAAAAATCTTAATCTTAGTCTTAATCTTACACTTAATCAACTTTGCCATTGAGTAATTAGTCTTAATCAACTTTGCCACAGATCTTAATCAAATCTGCCATTGTTTGTCAGGCAAAATAAAATTGTAATTTAATTCACTAGTAAACATTTTAATCACCTTTAACATCCACATTGAAGTGTACAGCATCACCCCTTGTCTTGCAGCTGTACACCCCTGAGTGGTAAAATTCAGCTGACTGGACAATCAGTTGCCTCTTTGTGCCCTTGGACTTGAAGTCTAGTCCACTTTGTGGTAGAAGCTTCACACCATCTTTATACCAGGAGACCTGGGCGAGTGGATCTGAGAGCTCACATTGCAGTACTATTGGTGAGCCTGCTTCAATGGACTTGTTCCTCTCATACTCCGGAAGAACGGAGAACCTCACCGGTGGAGCTATATGTGTTTTGGTTCAGCATTATTTGGTAAACTTTAGAGACTTGGAAGTGCAAGATTCCATTGTTGGACATACTCATTTGATTTTGATTCATAGGAATGCAAATGAATGTTATTAATAAATGCCTTCATTCTTAGATTCCCAACATGTCAACATTATGAAGCTGATTAACAACTTTGAAGAACGGAATAGTAAGAACAGAAAAGACTCACCCTCAACCTCCACGTTAAACCTGATGATGTCATCAATAGCATCACAACTATAAACTCCTGAGTGGGAGAAATCAGCTGACTGGATGACAATCCTCCTCATTGTTCCCTCTGATTGGATGTGCAGACCTTCCATTGATTGAAGTTCAACACCATTCTTATACCAACGAACTGGAGCCTCAGGGTCTGACAGCTCACAGTAGAGCACAATAGGGTTGCCAACCTCCACAAATTTGTTTCGATCCATTTCAGAAAGTGGAGTGAATTTTACCAGTGGAGCTGATTGATGGGAAGATATAAGCAAGTTCAACATCACAAGTACAACAGTTAATATACTTATAAATATATCTCGGTGCAAGGAAATCAAAGTTAAGTGTATACCTTGTATATACAAAGCAGCAGAATCTCGAATTCCGTAGGCAATGAAGGTGATCTCTGATCCGTTGTCTGTGTCCCGTACCCCACGAATGCGTAGGGACTGGTGTGTACGCGAACGCCTTATGGAGAAACGGTCATCGTCTTGAAGCTGATTTCCATTTAAGAACCAAGTGCCTATAACTGAGGCAGAGAGTTCAATGGTAAAGCAGGCATCCTGGCCCTCTGGCACTAAAGCGTCTTGTAGAGGTGCTTGGATTCTGGCAACTGGGACTGGAATTGGGAATGAAATTTGTTAGTGCTTTTTTGTGTATGCAATGGATAGCCTTAAATAGGAGCTTACCAAGGTGAACTGCTCGAGGAAACTCTACATTCCCACTCCTTCCATATTTGTTGACACTGCATATCCGAAATCTGTAGTCTGCCTCGCATGGAACGCTGTCACCAAGAATCTCCACTGAGGTTGCAGAGTCTGTGGTTAAACATTGTAGCCACTCCTGTGAGCCAACCTCTTGCCTCTCAATTATATACCCTGAAGGTGGATTCTTCCGAGAGTCTTGTGCTGGAAACCAGGAAAGGAGAGCTGCATTTGCTCGTTCTGTGTTTATCTGTACCCCGATAGGACAGCTTGGTGGACAGTGCCTTGCAGCTGAAATTAGCACAAGAGAAGAAGAGGTTAATTGAAAATGAACACATTTGCACATTCTGAAATAGGTGTGTTTACGTATTATTAATTCCAAACAAATGTTTTCTTACCTTTCACCCGTAGCTGCGATGACGTCTTCGATCTACCCACATAGAACATGACCATACCAGAGTCTTGTGGTGTGGTGTTGACAAAAACCAAGATGTGTGTCCTTCCAAAGGATTTGAGAATGGTCTGATGGGTCTCCCTTAGTTCTGTTCCATCTTTGTACCAATGAATGTCCATTTCCTCCTCCTCCACTTCCACACAGAAGGCTGCATTTTCCCCCTCCAGAACGTCAACTTTTCGTGGCAGCTTTCTTACAATGGTACCTTCAAGAGTAAGTTTACATTAAGTACATCAAGGGTACATTTCATTGAAGTCAATTAAGTTATACAGCTGCAAATGCTCAGAATTTGTTTTCCCCAGGCAGACGTTGTTGATGTTTTTTTTGTTTTTTTTTACCTTTGACTGCTACCTCAGCAATGCTTCTGCCCCCATCAGCCATCTCACAGAGATATATCCCATCGTCATCAACTCCAATATCACGAATTGTGAGTCGTCGCTTTGTCCCCCACTCCTCCATCCCATATTTGGCTCCAGGCTGTAGTCGTCTGTCTTCTAAGTACCACGTGATTGGAACAGTGTCCTCAGGAACTTCACACTCAAGAACAGCCAAGTCTCTCTCCCATACTTGCAAGTCATTAAGTGGTTGCTTAAATCGGACAGGTGGCTCTGTTGTTACAAGATGGAAAGAGCCCAAAAAGGAAAGTTCTTAAAATGTGTTTTTTATGTCAGTAATGGATAGATCTACATTATCTCTGCAGAGATGCAGTTGCAAAATATCAAATACCTACCCCGCTAACAATGACCAGTGTATGTTGTGTTTTGGATTGTGATGTGCTTGATGTCCTCATCATGCTTTTTAACTAACTAACTAACCAACCATCAAGACTGCCTTGATAGACCAGCTTCAACCAGAAAGACCATGATTTGCATACATTAGCCTCGACCAGCATAGATATTCATGCTTAGAAATTCAAAGTATTTCCTAATGTGTTAATGAGGTAATCTAAAATCAGTAATGATGTTGTTTTCATACTGTTATACTATTACATTTTAGAAAGTAATTGGTATACTAGTTATACTGAAATGAATATTTTGTCTAATGTTCTTGTTTAAAATATCTAACAATTCTTGAAATACTATACATTTACTTGAGAAGCAACCCTGCATAAGATTTAAAAAAAGTGGGAAAAATTCAAAAAATCTGCCGGTGCAGTTAGGCTTACCTTCAAGATAAAATTCATGAAAACTTATGATTTAACATTTTAGTTTTGTCTTTTTTATTGTACCTTACTAAAAAGTATATAGCTTTAAGAATTATGTCTTACAGAGTATATGATATCCCTGACAGTATTATAATTATATTTTTGTCTTGTTAATGCTTGCTTTAGTAGTCATACCTTCAAAAGTAATCTGATTACGTAACTCGCGTTACTTGTAATGCGTCACCCCCAACACTGGTTATAGATCAGATGGTTAAACCATACAATTACATTGCACTTGTATCGTACTGCATTTATCATATTCCAAATCAAATGACTCTTACCTTTGACGATAAGGTGTACCGCACTCAGGGTTTGCCCTTCAGTGTTTGAAGCAGAACAGACATAAACTCCATTGTCCTGTTGTTTGCAGTAGAGAACTTTAAGTGTGAAGTAACCCTCTCTGTCTTCATACAAAAGATACCGTCTCCCAGACAAGATAAGTCTCCCATCTTTCCTCCATAATATTTCTGGTTTTGGCTTCCCTGTTACATAGCACCGAAACTTTGCATGTTTCCCTTCTGTCACTGCAAACATTTTCACTTTGGCTGAGTTTGGCAGTGGGTCATCTTTCAGCCTCGTCGCAACCTGCCTACCACTTCTCTGTTTTCCCTGATGTGCTTTCCAGTGGCCATTAGTGTATCCGTTACGGTTTCCTTCATCTTCATGTCCTGGTCCAGCATCCACCAACAGCACAGCCCCTGCCAGACTCTCTCCAAATTCATTCCTGGCCTTACATGTGTACACCCCTCCATCTGGTGCTCTTGTCTTGAAAATCTTTAGTTGGAACCATCCTCCATCCTGATAGCTGATGGCGAAATGTGTGCTTTCAAAGATTTTTTATTGTACCTTACTAAAAAGTATATAGCTTTAAGAATTATGTCTTACAGAGTATATGATATCCCTGACAGTATTATAATTATTTTTGTCTTGTTAATGCTTGCTTTAGTAGTCATACCTTCAGTTTAGACCTGGTGACTTGAAAGCCTTTTGAGCTTTATGGAGTTGCCTGGCTCTGATACAATATAGTCATGCAAAGCAATCAGTTTTGACTGTTTGATGGTCCATGTGAGAAATATGAGCTTGCCTCCAGAGATTTCTATCACATGTGTGAGCCTCAGGCCTTTCAAAGCCTAAGTGACTTTGCAGATATAGGACTGGGTGGAATCTATTTAATGTTAATGAGTTTGGCCAGGTCAGGTAATTTTAAAGCTCCCTTGATGCATTTCATACAACTAAATCATCATAAAAGTAACCGTTGATTAGAGTACCAAATGCTCAACACAACAGATGGCAACTGGATCCTAACACGGCATCCTCTCCTCGTCCAACTCTAGTCGAGAGGGGCTTGATGAGGAAGCGTGGCTTGTTTTCCTCCCGAAATTCCATCTCCTGTGCTTCACCTTCTACTTTCAAAGTGGCTGCTGCGTAAGTCTCTCCAATGCAGTTCTTGGCCTTGCAGATGTATTGCCCACTGTCCTCCATTGTCACAGAAGTTATGATAAGGTTATAGACATTGCCATCCTCAAACACCCGGTATCTGCCCTCTGGATGAATCTTCTCATTGTTTCTCTCCCATATAACTGCTGGTCTGGGATCCCCGCCAATCTGGCATTTCAGAACTGCATCTGTGCCACTTTGTACTACCACAGGACGAGGGTAGGCCAGGAACCGTGGCGCTCCTCCAAACACATCCATCCCTGCTCACTTGCCAACCTCCACTCAGGTTGACAGGCTACAGGCATTCAGTCTCTATATTACTTTGGAAGAATTTTGTTGTCCGGCTGTTTATCAAGTCTCTGAAAGAAAATTACATTTAATTCATGCTCTGATAATAACCAACAGTTTCATACATTATTTATATAATACAGACAGTATGTGCTATAAATATCAAGTTGAATGCCTTTTAAATTCCAGTCAAAATCCTGAATTTGAATTGAGGTAGCAAACAGGATGCAGAATTATGCATGTTAAAGAAATCCATATGACTAAATTTTTAACTAGGAGGAAATTTGAACGTTCACCAATACCTATATAATCAGTCACACAGTAAATAATTGAATTGAAATGAAATGAATGAATGTACATAATGTGTGGTTTTTCAGCAATTTGTCAGTACTCATTACAGATGAATACAACTTTATTTGCTCATTTATATACATGTAAATCATAATTATTATATTTTTCATTCTACTTAAAAGCAGAAGTAGATTTGGCACTGGATCTGACAAATTACTTCTGCCATCATTTACTAAAGTAATATAGTTCAGTGTTTGTTCGACTTTACCTGTTCATAGCATTAATTGTCTAACTGTATTTGTCTTTTCAGAAAATGAAAAATGAACAACCAAACTTTTCATGTCCCAATAATTTTGAAAAACTGCTTCAGCTATTTCTCAAATTGTCAACAATCTGCTAAATTATACAGGCTCATTCAAAACTAATTGAGTTTTGGTATGTGTACTAACAACATTTGATGGTGTAGGCTCTCCCCAGAGAGAAAGGCTTCTAGTACACCAGAGTATTAATGGCCAGAACTTTCTTAGATATTATGCCTCGTGTGAGAAGTGGTGAAACATCTTTTAGCCATACTGCAACAGCGACCACAACACATAACTAACACAGCTGGTGCTGTATTTCAATGGGAAAGTGCTTTATATAGTATGCCCTAAATAAAGACCTGTGAGAGGGCATGTGTCAGGTATCACAAAGCACACTACAGAGCACGCGTGCACATACAACACAGGTCTCACACACTCACGCAGGACACACCCCATGGGGACCTCTCAGTCAAATATGCTATGCCTCTCTCACACTCCTTTTAGCAAATGCAGTGACGAATTTAGGTGTTAAATGTCATTGTCAAAATTAGTTTGTTTGTCATTCGTTTCAAGAAAGAAACACTTGCTCTGTACTTTTAAGTGATATCTTCCTCTGAAAATATCCTCTGTTGCATATGAAGCAATCCAGACCATGTTGGTTTAATATGCCCTTATATGATATATTTTTTTTTTATGTGTGGCTTCTCAATTTCAATCACGTTGCATGTTTGGCCTCTGAAGTGTACAGGGGAATGTTTATACGCCAGAGCTAATTTATCTGTTTTAGGATGGCAGAACACATGAATCGCTAGTCCTGGGAATCTATGACGGACAGCGAACTTCAGGAAAATGATCCGGTGTCCTCTTCAGAACCTTAAACGTCTGCTGGTTATTCAGCATGCTACGCATTGAGGTTTGTGCTACGCTACAAACAAGAGAACAACACATGATATAAGTAACACAAAAACTACCTTATAAAAATCTCCCTAGAACACACTAACCCTATTACTATATACTCTATATATCCACTGCAAAGTGTATATACTGTATTGTCCGAATGAAGAAAACAGGTGTTCAGATGTTCCGTGATAAAGTCAACATTAAAGAACTCGTATCAGAAAGAAACAAACAGGGAAGATACTCTTATTATATCACCAATTGGGATTAATGTTAAAGGTTTAAATGTATAGCATCGACAATTTCCCTTAGGACTTTAAAAGGAGATTAACCTCCTGTTTGTGCTCCTAATTTAATTAGACTGACCTTTGACCTCAGGGAAACTGCACTTTGTAACAAACATATCCTACCTCTCTTCAGTCCTTAGAGACAACTGTCAATATGCATTCCGTGGCAACCAGCTTCTCCTGCTTCACTGGCCCTCACTTCCAGCGGTAGTGTTTTTAAAAAAAGAATAATCCTTTTCCACTTTGGTAAGTTTGTTGCGGTAAGTCCTCCTCATTAACATCTAGCCAGTGTCACCTGCCCATTATGCCAAAGCTTTTACATGCCCCTTTTAAGATGATTTTAGCCTGATCAGACCGCTTTCCTTTGAATGCTCCAGCAGTCTCACAATCTCTGTGGCGTTTAGTCCTGAGACACCCCTAGTGTCATTGTTCGTAGAAGTCCGTTAAATGCTTTTGCAGCTGCTGCTGTCCCCTAAAAATACTGGCAGCCTCGATGACAGCAGTGAAGATAAGTCAGGCTCTCCATTCACTTGCTCGCAGTGGCTAAAGATAGGTTGGATGGCTCGTCCTGAGCAGATTGCTTGACTTACTTGAGACCTTGCAATAAAACTTAAAGAGAAGGGCAGTAGCCTTCTGGCCTCCTGAAAACTTTCAGCATTTAGTTGAATGTTCAGATCTTTTTGTTTGTGGCATCAGCGCCAGCGTGGCCATCCAAAGGCATTCAGAGACTGCAGAGGATTCCTGGTAATGGCCATAATTTTATGGGATCTGTCATCAGCCTTAGCAGAGGTGTAGCCTTACAAATTACTAAGACAAGTATGCTGATCACACGTACTCTGGCCTGTTTAAAAACAACAACAACAACATTTGATGCAACTGGTGTGACATAGCCGATAGTGTTATTTCGAAATGCATAATGCATTTCATTGTCAGAGAAGGTACAGCGAATTGTCCTTAAATAAACTGAGAAACTGTGAAATGCCTTTGTGGAAATATCTAAAAATGAAGCGTTCAAAGAACAGAACCAAAGGGGAGTTGCGTGCACGCGTGATTCGGCTTATGAATGTGTGAGGGTGAACACAGAGAGCAGTGACCCCTCAGCTGTTTAGAGGCTCACGTCTCACAGGCTCAACGCTGCCTCCTCTGATTTCAGCCATTGGAAGTAATCTGATCTTACCCTGAACCCTGAAACCAGCATCCTGGCAATGAAACGGTTTGTACAAGCCACTTTGTGAAAACCTGCAGGGATTAGCGGTCCTCTTTTTGAAACTTCCAAATTCCACCAGCTGCTAAAGAAGATATTAGCAAGTGCGTCGTTTCTTTATGTGTTGCAACCTGTTGCAATATGGACTGTGCAAAAGGAATAATTGTAAAAACAACATTGAGAGTCTGTTAATAGCTATGCTTTGCTGATAAAGACCCGGTGAAATCACAAGACAAGCCCAGTTGTCTTCCATGTTGACGTATTTTCCGTTAAATCAAGAGGTTTGAGTAAAAGCTTTCTTTATATGAATGCGATTTGCTACTTACCAACCAGATGCAGGTGTATAGGGTCATCAATATATGTGGCCTGTTTTTTTGGTAGAAAAAGAATGAAATTTAAATACACGTTATTTGAAGAGAGTTAATTTTGTTGACATTTAGAAGTATTGTACAGTAGCGTAAGCTCATAGATGTAAATTCCACTTTTGATACCTTCTATATGAGACCTGGAACTTGTAGATTTTTTGTAGATAATTTGAATAAGCCTGAATTCGCCATCAGTTGTATACAGTATAACCCCCTTTTTTGTAGCTTATGTTTGAAATAAGTAGTAGAAATGTCTTTTTATTTTTATTGTTTGCTGTTGCAATATGATAAAAATAAATAACAATTTGTTATTTATAGTGGTTTGATAATGGCAAGTGTAAGTGCTTCTCTGGAGAGCACTAAACAGCTCTCTCCTTCCCTCTGCAGGCAGGAGAACTGCTACAGCTGTCAATACCCAGTTAGCTTATTTTAAATAGACTCCTTATTCACATGCTGTCTTAACAATTTTGTCTGAAACCTTTTACCTCATGATTCCAAATAATAAAATAAGAATCTGTCTGTCCCCCAATAATCCGTCATTTCTTTTCTAGTTAGACCTACATATCAAACTACAGTCAAGAAATGAATGTCGTTCATAGACAAAACATATATAATTTTCAATTTTCATTATTCAGTACTCTATTATTGCAGTTATTCTGCTGAATGTGTTCAATCACGGTACTGCTGCTGGGAGTATCTTTTATAATTTGTCTCTAACATTTTTGTTTCTTTTCCAAAACTAGTGTACTTACATGGCCTTTTTACAGAGGAGACAACAGTTTTACTGAAGAGCAAGAGAAAAAGAAAAATCAAGGTAAATATTGCTTTTTAACAGTTAATAATAATAAATTATTGTAATTTCAATCTAATTTTCTGAGATCATGCATAAATTGTGAAAATATTATTTAGGGTTTAGCAAGACATTAGCAATTTTATTCCAAACAATAAATAATTTTCGATGTGGGGAAATGTTATTGACTTAATTACAGAATGTGTTACTGTAGAAATTAAACTAATGAATATGTGAAAAGTACCATAGAAACCACTTGGCCATATATCTAATGACCCATATATATATATATATATATATATACAGTGGGTACGGAAAGTATTCAGACCCCCTTACATTTTTCACTCTTTGTTATATTGCAGCCATTTGCTAAAATCATTTAAGTTAATTTTTTTTCCTCATTAATGTACACACAGCACCCCATATTGACAGAAAAACACAGAATTGTTGACATTTTTGCAGATTTATTAAAAAAGAAAAACTGAAATATCACATGGTCCTAAGTAGTCAGACCCTTTGCTGTGACACTCATATATTTAACTCAGGCGCTGTCCATTTCTTCTGATCATCCTTGAGATGGTTCTACACCTTCATTTGAGTCCAGCTGTGCTTGATTATACTGATTGGACTTGATTAGGAAAACCACACACCTGTCTATATAAGACCTCACAGCTCACAGTGCATGTCAGAGCAAAAATGAATCATGAGGTCAAAGGAACCGCCTGAAGAGCTCAGAGACAGAATTGTGGCAAGACACAGATCTGGCCAAGGTTACAAAAAAAATTTCTGCTGCACTTAAGGTTCCTAAGAGCACAGTGGCCTACATAATCCTTAAATGGAAGACGTTTGGGACAACCAGAACCCTTCCTAGAGCTGGCCGTCAGGCCAAACTGAGCTATCGGGGGAGAAGAGCCTTGGTGAGAGAGGTAAAGAAGAACCCAAAGATCACTGTGGCTGAGCTCCAGAGATGCAGTCGGGAGATGGGAGAAAGTTGTAGAAAGTCAACCATCACTGCAGCCCTCCACCAGTCGGGGCTTTATGGCAGAGTGGCCCGACGGAAGCCTCTCCTCAGTGCAAGACACATGAAAACCCGCATGGAGTTTGCTAAAAAACACCCGAAGGACTCCAAGATGGTGAGAAATAAGATCCTCTGGTCTGATGAGACCAAGATAGAACTTTTTGGCCTTAATTCTAAGCGGTATGTGTGGAGAAAACCAGGCACTGCTCATCACCTGTCCAATACAGTCCCAACAGTGAAGCATGGTGGTGGCAGCATCATGCTGTGGGGGTGTTTTTCAGCTGCAGGGACAGGACGACTGGTTGCAATCGAGGGAAAGATGAATGCGGCCAAGTACAGGGATATCCTGGACGAAAACCTTCTCCAGAGTGCTCAGGACCTCAGACTGGGCCAAAGGTTTACCTTCCAACAAGACAATGACCCTAAGCACACAGCTAAAATAACGAAGGAGTGGCTTCACAACAACTCTGTGACTGTTCTTGAATGGCCCAGCCAGAGCCCTGACTTAAACCCAATTGAGCATCTCTGGAGAGACCTAAAAATGGCTGTCCACCAACGTTTACCATCCAACCTGACAGAACTGGAGAGGATCTGCAAGGAGGAATGGCAGAGGATCCCCAAATCCAGGTGTGAAAAACTTGTTGCATCTTTCCCAAAAAGACTCATGGCTGTATTAGATCAAAAGGATGCTTCTACTAAATACTGAGCAAAGGGTCTGAATACTTAGGACCATATGATATTTCAGTTTTTCTTTTTTAATAAATCTGCAAAAATGTCAACAATTCTGTGTTTTTCTGTCAATATGGGATGCTGTGTGTACATTAATGAGGAAAAAAAATTAACAAATGATTTTAGCAAATGGCTGCAATATAACAAAGAGTGAAAAATGTAAGGGGGTCTGAATACTTTCCGTACCCACTGTATATATAATAAAA